GAACGAATCCATCATGTTTCACATCTTGCATTAGTCTCGCAGAGATTACGCTGAAAATTTGTTCCGTAGAGAAGCAAAACTCCTATCGAACTTCACTGGCATTTGTTTTTGTTCTATTCGATACATGTAACATATCCATCTAAAAACATTATTGAACTTAAGCGGTATTTTATTTTCATTGGAATATATATATGCATGTCTTTCATATCACTAGAATTTCTTGAAAAAGCTTACCTATCATGATGTGGAATTTGCAATAATGGTCTTATGACAATGGACGTTTCTTTGAATGGCATTCGCTGGTGATCATGATAGTGATTGACAGGCACATCAGATCTTTTATGTAGATGTCTGATAGGTAGATTCCTCTGATGGGAAGTATTTGATGCTAAATACAAAGATAAATATGTTATCCAACACTTATCTAATATAGTAAACGAATTTGCGAAAGAAAAAGAAAATCGAACTGTAGAAGCTTCCAGAAAACAAAAGAGTAGTAAAGCAAAATGATAGTTTCTCCCTTTGCTTGTTTTCAATAGTAAGACGTGCAACTGCATAATGCAATCGTTCGTTTTTTATGCAACATGAGCTATTGAGGGATGTATATCGTTTTTTGTTCCTTTGAGTCATATGCTAGTATTTGGAAATGATGAGGCGTCATTAAAGTCGCCTTGAGTTTTTGTGAAATACGATCTAAAAGAAGTATTGAAGTGTATCGGGTAGAAATTTGAATTCACTTCTCTCACAGATTGTGGCTGACTCTCTGAAATCCTGCCATCGGCTGTGCAAGACGTTCTTGATACACGATCAAACAACAGTCGTAAAGAACGCCTTATCATAGTGCATGAATTACTTCCTGCTTTCAGCTCTGGAAGAATAAGTAAAATGATGCTTTCCAAATGCGCCGCAAAATAGATAGATTAAACAAGCCCGCTGGGAATATCAGCAGTAGCTACATCGTGTTTCATATTTTAATTCTACAAAGATCGTGCTAACAGCTTTTCTAAATGAGAATAATAGTTCATGTTTCCAAACTATTCTACAAGTTTTTCACCAAGCCAAAAACTAAATAAACAAGGAAAATGTTTTATTCTACGGATGAAACAGGAATATCAGAACATTGCCGTGCGTTATATACTATGCAATAGGTAAGTTCGTTAAATTTCTCAGATTGAAACGTCCGTTCCGTGTACATCAGTTGAGCTTCTACTGGGATAATTTATCGAATTAGACTTGTGAATATTATTACCATTTGGTTCATAAGGGTAGTTGGTTCTTAATATCATGTTCGATCTAGATTGATTTGAAATAGTCGATTCGTAAGAGTTATCTGAAAACAAATTATCTTGAAATGATGGATTTGTCTAGAACGACTCGTTGTAACTTCGGTTAGTTCGGCGGATTATCACAGTCTTGCGTATCTCTCTACGTGTTGCCATGGGAAGTAATTTCAACAAACAGTAGTTAAATTAATCAAACGTGTATCTAGCAACAATTTTAAACAAAGAGTACTGCAAATATTGTCGTTTGACTAGCACGAAGCGAACGCTTTTCAAAATAATGATTGACTTTTTTCGTTTCTCTGACAGTCAAATATTCTATTAGTTTCTTCCTTGTTTCTTCTATTGCGCATATTTGAAACATTCGTCGCAACAAGCTTTAAAGCAATCGATAAATGTCTCTTTTTTCTTTCAAAGTATTTTTGAGTTGCAAAATGAATTTGTCAGCGCTTTTATTTTCTAATTAATTATTGGTAAATATATTTTGAAGTTGGTAGTTTTCAACAAAACATTTGTACTTTTTATGAAACCAAAACAAAATAAAAATCGACTCAACTATTGTGCGGGCTTAAATGTGGATGAGATGCGAGTGTTTTGTTCTGAACGGGTGTCTTCTCTTCATCCAAAACCAATGGCAGCAAATCCTGATGAAGACTTAGACAAATTCAATTTGAACAATTCTAGAATTGATATTAATTCAACAATGCATCAATCTTGTTGCTTTACATGATGATATGGATGTAATGTGAAGTGTGGGTGGTTCGGATGTGTTATCTCTTCACCTGCACCCTGCACTCCCTACTCGTTGCTCCGCAGACCTTCAATACACGTATTCTTCTTCCAGTTTCTTTAAACCCCGAGCGCTTAAATCTGTTTTGGAATTCAGAGTGCTATAAATCATTATAACTTCTTTCTCTAGAATTTTTGGGTTTTTACAAACCCAATACAAATCATCAATTATACGTTCTGTGTTTTAAATGCACAAATACTTTCACCCCCCCCCCCCCCCCCCCCCCCCCCCCCCCCCTTCTAAAAAAAAAACCGCAGTTAAAAATAAAAAACTATAAGCGGATCCAACAACAGACACTCACAAAA